CCCTAAAACCCTATTCTAATAATTAAGGCCCCTATCTTGTCCTGGGGACTGCTCCGCTTTTGAGGCTGCCATCGCGATGACTTTCCATTGGCGCTCATCGTCTACAATATGATATATGCTACCCCCACCTCCAGAATCCGTGGTACCTTATATATATATATATATAGGGTCTAGGATTTAGCGTTTAGAGTTTAGAGTTTAGGGTTTAGGGTTTGAGGTTATAGGGTTGTGGGGTTTAGGGAATCGCTGGGTTCAATCGAGTGTCGGCTTCGGGCCCAAGTTCGAGGTTCAGCGGTTTAGGCATAGGCTTAAGAGTGTATATGGGTAGTTCCCTAAGTTAGGGTCCCTCTTTGGGTCCCCAATATAGTACGGCACCCTTATAAAAAGGACCCCCAAAGGGGACCCTAATTTAGGGAACCACCCACATATGCATATATATATGTATATACACAGATGTTAGGGTTTAAGGTAACCCCCCCAGCTACCCTCTAATATACCCAGAATACCCACTATTAAGAACCACAAGGGCTCTATTGAAGTGCTCTTGGGGGGTCCTGGTTAGGCTAAGAGTTTAGGAATCAGTCGGTTCTTGGAAGGTCGGGAGACTTAGTAAGTAGGTAATAAGTAGACTTCTAAGTACCCTCAAAGGGACCCTAATTGGGGTTATAGTACTTATAGGTCTATAAAATAACCATTTACTAAGTCCCCCGACCCTCCAAGTTTTGAGGCCCTGACAGCTGCCATTGGACAGCTCGGAGGCGCCCAGACGGGTCGGGAATGAAATGTCATCCGACTCGGTGGATGATGGGACTTGCAAAGTAAGGATATACGTAATATAGGGGCCTAAAAGCCAACAGTACTATTTTTGGAGCTCCTGATAAGGATCATAGTAGAATATAACCCAAAGCCTTTTCTAATTATAAAGGCCCGTACATTACCGTAGTTAATGTTTGAAGCGCTTGGCAAGTCTGGTTGCTTCCATCTATAGAACTAGTTACGAAGCCCAGTGATCCTCTCAAGTAACGGTTCTAAGATCCCAGTAAGTCCTAGGTCATGTTAGGGAGACCCCTTAAAGGGGACCCTTCTTAACCCTACTTGTGGCTCTCACCTTGTTGAGAGGGTCTATATCCCCAAGGGTAACTCGCAGTAAGTAGGTAGTGCATGACTTGCATGACCCTTGGGTCCTGACAGGTAGGTAAGTTACCCCGCGGCTTTTGTGCAGGTTTTGCGGTTTGGAGGCTTTCGCTGTGGATTTTAGGCGCTGCCAGAATCGGACTTTACTTAACTTTACTTGGGAAAGGGGGGGTTGGTTGGGGGCATCGCGGTCGTTCTGGCGCCGCGAACCTTGTCTGAAAAAGGGGCTTAGAACCCACCCACGCCTGCCAGCAAAAGTCAAGACTGTGCTCGGGTTTGGGGAAGCCAGGATTGTAAGGAAGGAAAAGGTGGGCTTTGAACCCATGCTGCCAGCAAAAGTCAAGCGCAAACATGCCTCTGAGAATGAAATTCAGGAGCTGTGTAGAGAAAACGTGCGACGTCCTAAGTTTCAAGTCTACATGGTCCCTGAAAGTCATTTTCACAAGCATATCTGCACTTTCTGAACTTTTGCTTACCAGCGTGTGACCCCTCAGGCACCTGATGCAGGCAGGGCGGATCGCTAACCTTCAACTTCGCCCTAAACCTAAACCCTAAACATCAAGAATCTCGGCATCCCGAAACTGCGAACCGGGGAAGCCTCCTGAACGCAGATGCTCTGTAGGATATACCTAGCCCAGAGGGTCCGAGTACCCAAATAGTAAGGTTTTAGGTCCCAAGATCCATACTCTGAATGGGTTTTGGACCTTGAAACCCTACTATTTGGATACTTGGACCCTTAGGGTAGGAAACCTAAAGGCGGCCTTTCACGAAAGACTGAAGACGGGGTTTAGGGTTTAGGGTTTAGGTTTAGGGTTTAGGGTTTAGCTTTAGGTTTAGGGTTTAGGTTTAGGGTTTAGGGTTTAGGTTTAGGGTAAGGGGTTCCCATAAGTTTTAAGTTTTACGCCTTAATTAAAGGGCTTCTGGTTTTCTGGGTCGGAGATAGGACGTACTTCAGGCTGTATCTGTGGTGCATTTGTGACTGAGCGCCTGGAGGCGAATGCCTGATGGATCCTGACACCCTGCCCTCTGATCATTTCAGTAAAGGGTTTAGGGTTTAGGGTTTAGGGTTTAGGGTTTAGGGTTTAGGGTTTAGGGTTCGAAACTTTTTTGTTTTAGGCTCCAGCGGTTCGCAACTGGAAACCCCTGAGCCTGACCAATCTCAAGAGAGTCTTGTCTCTGCAACAGCATGCAAGCCGATCCGTACCTCACGGCCATAGTCATAGCCCTTTAAGCCTAAAGCCGTCAAACCGCAAATGCCCTCAACCTCCAAATCCTGAACCTCAAAACCCTGAACCTCAAGCCCAAAGCGGCAAACCTTGGACCCTCAACATAGACAGACGCCTTCATGTAACTCTTGCAAAGCCTGTATAAACAATCCCTCAAAACCCTTGTAAGACCCCATACAACTGTTGGATACAACCCGCATGGCCCTAAACCATATTAAACCCTGAGCCCTAAACCCTACATAAAGCTTAATTGAACACTAAGGCCTAAACCCTGAACCCTGAACCCTACACCCTAAAAGCCTGACTATATATGATGATACCTTTAACCCCGAACCTGAAAACCCTAAACCCCAAAGCTTGAACCGCAAAACCTACACCCTAAACCGCCTAAAACCCTAAACCCTAAAACCCTAAACACCCTAAACCCTAAACCCTAAACACCTTAAACCCTAAAACCCTAGAGCCCCCCAAACCCTAAAGTCTTAAAGCCCAAAACCCTAAACCCTAAAACCCTAGAGCCCCCACACACCCTGAAGTCTTAAACCCTAAACCCTAAACCCTGAAACCCTAGAGCCCCCCAGCCCTAAAGTCTTAAAGCCCCAAACCCTAAACCCTAAACCCTATAACCCTAGAGCTCCCCAAACCCTAAAGTCTTAAAGCCCCCAAACCCTAAACCCTAAACCCTAAAACCCTAGAGCCCCCCAAACCCTAAAGTCTTAAAGCCCCAAACCCCAGCCGCCACTCCGCCCCTCGGCAGGCGCCTGCACAGTCGAGGCGTGGGTCCGCCTCAGGGACGAGGATCTTCAGCGCTGTCGCTTCCTCAGTAGCTGAGTGGATACACTTTACACTTTTTGGGATACTATTACCTACTATAAAACTGAAAGTGCAGAAGACGGTTTAGGGTTTAGGGTTTAGGGTTTAGGATCTTCAGCGCTGTCGCTTCAGCTGCAGAACGGTTTAGGGTTCAGGGTTTAGGGTTTTCTGGGGTTTAGGGTTTAGGGTTTAGGGTCCTTTAAGGGTAGAAGTACCGGGTTTAGGATGGGTTTGGGATTTAGAAGTACGGGGTTTAGGATGGGTTTAGGATTGAGAAGTAAGGGGTTTAGGATGGTTTAGGGTTTAGGATTTAGAAGTAAGGGTGCAGGATGGTTTAGGGTTTAGGATTTAGGGCTTGGGATTTAGGGTTTAGGATTTGGGTTTTAGGTTTCTTTAAGTAAGAATTTGGGGTTTAGGGGTTAGGGAGTTCCTTGAAGTTAGAATTCGGAGTTTAGGGTTTAGGGTTTATAGAGTGTTCCTTCAACTTTGAATTAGGGCTTTCTTGTGTTCTTTAAGCCATTGCATAAGGGTTGTAGAGGGTTTCCGATTGTAAGGTTCCTAGTAGTTAGAAAAAAGGACCTATGTGCCCATCCCTTACGTACTTCAGCATTCAGGGGTTGCATTTGGGTGCGGATCAAAACATAGAACCCCAAAACCCCTTAACCAAGAACCCTAAACCCTAAAAACCTATACCCCAAACCCCAAGCCCCTAAACCCTAAACATCTATAAATGCTACAGGGACCCTTAGGGCTGAATCTATAAACTACAGTCCCCAGACTTTCGGCTCCCCAAAACCCAACTTCCTACAGCCCAACCCTGATACCCAAACCCTAGCACCCCACAGCCACGAAGTTAAAATCAAAAACCGAAGCTGTTCCTCAAACCCTACTCAGAAATGTATACAGTATTAGTAACATATATATATATATATATATATATGTATATGTATATATAGACATCTATACTTATGTGTACATATATATATATATACGCACACAGTTTTTCACAGCCCTTCCAGCACACTCCTTGGTGCAGTATACCATAGCGTCAGAGCCCGAAGACAGCCACCTAATCAATGTATAGGTAGCCAGAGTGTACGTATCAGGGGCCGGAGGTTTACGGAAAGTTGCAGGGTTTAGGGTTTAGGGTCTGGGGTTCAGGGTTTAGGGTTTAGGGCAGTTTGTTTCTGGCTTAGGGAAGGGCTTCACGGCTTTTAACATAGGATGAGTGCATTCGCACGGGAGATGGGATTCAGGATTCCTTGATATGCAGGCTCCTATTCTTGAGGTTTGCATAGATGGGTAGCGAAATGTGGGAGTCTGTATTGTGACGTGTGGGTTTACTTTCTCCGAGATTTCGGTTCATTTCCTGGACCGTTCGATGAGAGAAGCTCCTAGGAACGCAAAGGCTAGGCAACCCACAGGCCAAAGCCACAAAATCATCCAAATCCCTAGAAAACCTACACCGTACGCCCCAAACCCTACAACCTTGAAAATCGTTCAATTTCCCTGACCCTAAAATCCAATTCCGCTTAATTTAGGAGCACATCTTGGAGCAATAAGGTTAAATAGCCTAGGTGTTTAAAGCCATCGTCCATCGTTCAGGGTTTTTTGGCCACCTCTTTTAAACGACATCTAGGTCAGGATGGTTTAAGGTAGGTTCTTCTTTCCGGGTACCCTAAATCCTAAACCCTAAACCCTAAACCGGGAAATCAAGGCGTTGTCGTGGCAAATTTCGAGATTGCGCAGGGCGGCTCCGAGGCATCACCGAGGGTCTCGGGTTTAGGGTTTAGGGTTTTAGTGTTTAGGGTTTAGTGTTTAGGGTTTAGGGTTTTAGGGTTTAGGGTTTAGGGTTTAGGGTTTAGGGTTTAGGGCGTTTAGGGTTCAGGGTTTAGGGTTTAGGGTTTAGGGTGCTCCGAGGCATTACTGACTAGGTTCCCCAGTAGTTCCCTTTTTTGGGTCCCCTTATTAAAAGCAACATAGTAGGAAAAAGGGTACCCTTATTCTTTAGGGGCTACTGGGGAACCTAGCTGAGGGTCGCGACAGATTGTCGCAGTCTTCTTTTGGATAATATATGGGCCTTAATAATTAGAAGAGGGTTTGGGAGTATATTATACTATAATTATAGTACCCTAACGCTCAAGGACCTCCATAGTGAAAGCCCGAACTTTAGCCCCCAAAGCCCAACCTTCCCCTAGAAAGCCCATAACAGCAATCAGAGCCTTAGGGAAAGGAACCCCCCAAACCCTATTCTAATGGTTAACCTAAACCCTAAAGCCCAAAACCTAGGAGGTTTGTTTATCGGGTGAAGGTTTACTCTAGGACATTTTCAGGTGGGTAGTTACCGTTATAGGAGCCTTGTAGAAGGTCTATGTACCTCATGAAAGCCTTATCGAAGCCCTATATACCCTAAACTCCCCACCTGCTAAACCACTAAGCCCTAAACCCTAAACCCTAAACCCTGAACCCTAAACCCTAAACCCTAAACCTTTCCTATTTAGGGTTTTCCGGGGCTTAGAGTTCAGAAGCCTCGAGTTTCCGGGTCTGGGGCTGGCGGCCGCGTTGGCAGCCATAGATTCCGAGACCGCTTGATTGAGAAATTCACCGTAATGTGGGTAGTTTTCTAAATTAGGGTCCCTTTGGGGGTCCTTTTTGTAAGGGTGCCGTACTATATTGGCGACCTAAAAAGGGACCCTAATTTAGAAAGCTACCCATGTAGAGGCCTTAATAATTAGAATAGGGTTTTGGGGGTTTCTGATTATGACTATGGTATAATATATACTCCAAACCCTATTCTAAGTATTAAGGCACCTATATGAATTCATGGAATGCTGTCACTTAAGCACCTTGAGCAGCCCGACGCCTACAGAAATCCGATGGAGCCTTTGTGAAGGGCCTCTGCAGTCTGTCTTTGAGATCAAGGGGCTAAAGGAGGGACCCTCAAAGGGACCCTTGGGGTTATATAGGGGCTTTATGAGACTATATAGGGGGCATATTAGGGTTATATAGGGTATTTGGATTAGGGGTCCCTTCTAGGGGTCCCTCCTGTCCCTTAAAAAGAGTTTGAGAACACATCCTGCCTGGCCCTTCAATCTCATACGTGATCTGGAGAGTCGCAGTGTCCTTCGGGCTTTGAGTTTTGAGTTTCGAGGTTCCGGTATTCAAGTTTAGGCGGTTTGGGGTTTAGGGCTTAGGGTTCAGTTCTCAGGTTTTGGGTTTTGGGCCCGGCAAACCTTGAATCATCAACTTCTTGTTCCTTCTTTGGGGGCCCTAAGCCCTAAACCCTAAACCCCAAAATCTCAAGACTCCTGGGCCGCAAGCCTCAACCCTGAACCAAGACATGTCCTACTGTTGGTGATCTAGATCCTGCATTACCTTAATCAAACAAGATCAACAATACCGTTTAGGGTTTTATAGGGTTTAGGGTTTAGGGGTTTAGGGTTTAGGGGTTTAGGGTTTAGGGTTGATGATATAAACCCTTGATTACCTTAAGGGCCCTAAACTATGGGAACTGTGGTATATTCCTTCTTATGGGTAATGCAGGATTTATGTCATCAACCGTATCTGTATCCCAAAAGACCACTGTAAGCTTTGTGAATGATTTATAGAGGGCTTGAAATGCTTGCATAATATTTGGAAGCCTAACACATGTAGCTCTGTTGGGTTACGGGTACAACCCAAACACAAAACCCCAAGACCTGTAATGTAGGGGCCTAAACAGTTTCCTATATTATTTTGGTGGTTTCTTATTGTAATTGTAATTATAGTATATGTAATATACCCCCCCCCAAACTTTATTCTATTACTAAGGACCCTATCGTAACTCAGCGCAGGCCAGCGGCAGCAGTTCGAGGTCTGTTCCAAGCCTCGCCATCCGCAACGGACATGCAGAGGCCAGGGGGGGGGGTGGGGCCGGGGGTGTTGTCCGGAGGAGCTCAGGTTATCAAGGGGTTCCTAAACCCTAAACCCTAAACCCTAAACCCTAAACCCTAAGCCCTAAACCCTAAACCCTAAACCCTAAACCCTTTCGGGGGTAAAAAAAAAGGAACCCTAGAAAGTTCAGAAAATCGACTCAGGGTTTGGTTTCGGGTTTAGGGTTTAGGGTTTTGGGTTTAGGGGTTTAGGGTTCCCTAAACCATAGAACGTTGAAAAATGAACTCAGGATGGTTAATGCTGGGATTCCGTATAGTTTACATGCCGGGTGTCAGGGTAATGATGTTCCAACTCTCTGGCTTCTACTAGCTCTGCACGGGTCTGCTGAGGACTCCACCATGGTACTATAGGGGCCTTATAATAATTGC